AGGGGGGGGGAGGGCGCTGTGGGTTCTTTTATATGAGAAGATTGCTCTAGGGGTGCAAAGGGGAGGGGAGAGGAGGAGAAGGGAGGAGGGAGGAGGCGGTCAAAGGAAGGGGGCAGAGGATGGAACGGAGCTGGGAGAGGAGGTGCAGAGGAGAGGAGGGGAGAGAGGAGCAGGAGAACAATCGATTCATTATTAAAAACATCGTTCACGGTATCACTTGTGCGTTCAGAGCTTCTTGAGCGTCAAGAAACCTTCAGCGTCCTCGTCGCCCTGCTCCTCTGGTCACGTCGGAGCGAGCATGAGACGTTCCTTACCTGATAGCTGAGCGACACCCTCGACTTGGACGGCAGCACGAGGAAGTCTACGTGCGTCAGACCCGTCAGGTTGCTGTTGGTGTACCGCCCCGAGCTCAGCAGGCGGCTGCCTGCATGGTAAGTGACGTGAGCAGGGGAAGAGCCTATGGTGATCGCTGGCTCCCCGTTGACATGCACGCGCGCCGACGGCCGCTTCCTGCTGAAGAACCCCAGCTCGATGCAGTAGAGGCCGGGGAGGACGCAAAGGATGTAAGTCTTATCCTTCTCCCACACCAGGTGGACAGGATCAGAGTTGGAGCTCTGCAGATTCCATGGCACCACCCCGCTCGCTTTCGTCTTCAGGCTCTTCCAGATCCACCGCCCGGAGCACACCTCTCCTCCCGGCTGACTCAGCATCAGGTACTTGTCCTGCCATGACGACGACACGTCCTGCAAGCTCGCCTTCTCTTGGATGAGGCTGTTCACCTCGATCATCGCGCGGTTGAACGCGTCAACGTCCACCTTCCCGTCTAGCAGGATGCTCATGTCCGCCACGTTGGCCTTCTCCGCCATCTCCGCGTACACCTTGCCGAAGCTCAAGGACCTGTCCGACCTCTCCAACCTTAGCTCGTCCAGCTCTTCCCGCATCTTCTTGTGACTTCTTCCCAGCTCGTTCTTCACGCTCACGATCTGGTTGTTGACGTCGGACGTGTGCTGCTGTATCTGCTTCAGCACATCCCTTGAGAGCGCGCTGTTCATCTGCTGGCTAGTGAGCAGCAACACTGAACCCTCCCTCTCACCTTCTCCTCGATCTGACTGATGTTGTGCTCCAGCAGCTCATGTTGTCTCCGCCACTGTAGCTTGAAGTTCTCCATGCCTGAAGGCAGCAGGTAAAGGAAGGCAGCATGAGGGAGGAGGAGGAGAAGGAATGCAGCAGGAGGGAGGAGGAGGAGAAGGAATGCAGCAGGAGGGAGGAGGAGGTACCTTCATTGTACTCCTCTTTGCTCAGTTTCTCCGACAGCTCATCTCGGATGTCGTCTCTTCTCACGAAGCCTCTTATCTTGTCTTGAACCTGCAAGCTCCTCACCTCGAGCTCCTCACAACATCACCGTCGCTCACGTCCTCCAGCTTGTCGTCCACCATCCGATCCGCATTCCGCTGGATCGCTGCCAGACCTTGATCGATCTTGGAGGAGAGTTGGGTCTGCGAGCAGGGTGAGGGGGCTGGCAGGCTAGCAGGTGTCATACCTGGTATGCCTCCAACGCTGAGCTGAGCTCCACCTGAGTCTTCTTGCACATTCTTGAGCACTCGTCGGTCACCTCCGAGTGATCTGACAAGGAGCTGCAGCAAGCGTTACCAGCTGACAGCTGCAGGTGCTGCTGGGATTCAACCTCCGAACAGAGCTTTGAAAGTCTTTCATTTCCTGTGCTGTCCTGCTCAAGTCCTTCAAGCAGACATTCTTTCACCCAACAACAAGAGCAACATCAGTCGACGAGCACAGAGAGATCCATGGAAGCTTCTTCACCATCTGATCTTGCAGATCAATGAACTGAGTCGAAAGTTTCTCTGTCTTGTTCACCATGGCATCCTTGAAGACAGCTCAATCAGCATGTTCAACGTATGGACAAGCATTCACCATTTGCGCCTGACTCTTGTTCATAGCTCTCTCCATCTCTTCTAACTTGTTGCAATCTGCCTTCTTCGCTATCGCCTTCGACAGCGCGTCTTGGTTGCCGTAGATCCCAAGAGCGCTCTCGAGTGGAGCGAGATCAACTTTCTTGTGCAGCAGTTCAGCAACCTCCTTCTTCTTGGGGAACAGACGGATCTCATCGAGCACGTACTCTATCTTGGTGTCTGCTGTCTCAAGATTCTTCTCTAAGTGCACTCTTGTCTTCTCATGCTCATCTCGATCGACCTTGCACGCAAGTTCCGACATGAAGTCACTTGTGTTCACTTTGCTGTCCAGCAGCTGGTACACCTCAGCCTTGTTGGCCTTCTGTTCCATGTCGCGGATAGAAGCCTTTGCATCCAGCATGTGGAGAATCTCAGCCACGCTCTTGTTCACGTCCGACATGTTTGCTTTGCGATCCAGCATTCCTTGTAGCTCGACATGCGCTACCTTACCCTCTAGCTGCCGCTCGAGAGACTTGATCGCGACTCCTTGCGCCTTGATGACATCGTGAAGGGTCTTGAAGGTTCCTCGTATCACATCTTGAACAGACTTCCATTCATTCATCCCCTTGCCCTCTGTTCAGCTCTCCCCTCCTCCGCACAAGGACACATCCTTACCTGCAGCAGGTCTTCGACTAGAACTCCTGACATGTCAGTCATGGTGCCTGCAGTCAGGGGTCATTTCAATCCGCACATCATCATGGTTTTTCTTGACTACACTCTCATCTCCGTCCCTACCTGATCTTATCCTCTCTCTACGACTGCTGAGTTCCTATCGGCCCCATCCTCACAATACATCTCATTCTGGCAGTACACCTGAGATGTCCTGATTTCGTCTCTATCCTCTTCTTCCTCTTCCTACATGCCAGCTCTCCTCCTGTCCCTCCCTCTTCTCCCTCCTCGCCCCCCCCCTCCTCTCCTCTCCCTCCCTCTTCGCATTTTATCCCAGGTAAGTTTCTACCGCTAATCTGCCAACTACCCCTACCCCTGTTTTTACCTGCCTGTGAACCCCTACCCAAAGGCCTACCTACCCCTACCCCATCTCCTTCCCTTGCAGCTCATCAACCCAGGTAAGCTCCCGAAACGAGATGACACTCCATGGCCAAGGGAAGGGAAGGGAAGGGAAGGGAAGGGAAGGGAAGGGAAGGGCAGGGAAGGGAAGGGAGAAGAGAAGGGATCGACTTATCAGAACGCGATGATAGAATTCAGAAGTGCATTAGTTCGAGACAAGTTGTGAGATGCTTGAAATATGATTGCGATCGATGAAGTCGACTAACTCTTGTACAACAATCTGTCATAAGAGTTGTCGTGTACTAGTATCTCTCATAAGAGGAGATTAGAAATCTCTTCCCCTCCAATATCATCATCCTACATTACTGATCTGCACATACCAGGTATCAGTGACCGGACGCTTGTTCGGCAGACCCTGGGTCTCCTAGCGTAGAAGGCCATGGTCATATCAGGGCTGCTACCTCGGAGAACAGCATCGTTGAGCCTGCTGCTTGCTCTCCTCTCTCTTTCTCTCGACGACAGCTCCTCCTACACACCTGCGTGTCTAGACAACAACGATTGCAACCTGCCCAGGAACTGCTTCACCTGTGATCCTGCTGAGTTTGAAATCTACTCCAATGGGTACGGCGGATTTCCACTGTCCGCAAAGTGCAGGTGATGGGAGAGGGAAGGAAACTAAGGCGCCTGTCTCTGACTTGTCTTGCTCCTGCTTCTGCTCCTGCTCCAGCTCCATCGTCAGCAACTGCCTGTACTGCTGGAAGGGACTGGAGCAGGTGGTTCTCGGGGATGGATGGAGCAGCACGTTCCAGTACCGATCTTGCGTGCCATGGCCGGTAAGGAGCGAAGAGCGAAGATGGCTGAAGTGACGGTAGTATAACAGACAGCGGTGGCTTGTAACTCCGACACTTGCCCGAGCGAGTATGCTTACTATAAGGTAGTTCCCTAGCATTGTTGTGCGCTGAGTGATGGCGGTATGCTCAGGTGGACCATTGTATCACCAAGACGATGCAGAAGACAGCATCGGCTTGCTCGATCGGGGGATGGTGAGAAGAGCGGAGGTTAAGGAGCTAGCCAAGGCAGGGAAGGGCAAGGAGAGAACAGCACAGCAGAGGAAAGAAGAGGAGAGGAGAGGAGAGGCAAGGAGAGGAGGAGTGGCAAGGAGAGGAGGAGAGGAGGAGAGGAGACGAGAGAGAAAAATGGGTAAAGAAGAGGGAAGGGGAGAGGACGATAGGAAGCAGAGGAGAGGAAGGGAGGAGGAAGGAGAGGGAGAGAGGAGGAAGGAGTGAGGGTTGTCGCAGGTGCTCGAAGACAGTTACAGATTGTGTTTGCTCCGGTGAAAAGTGCAACCTGGGGACGAGAATGATGCAGCACAATCTTGTAAGTGACTAGTGGCTGGTGGGGCTGGCCTGATGCGGCAGCAGGTGACCGTCCTGCTGACAACGAGCTTTGTAGCCCTTGTTGTCCGCAAGTGCTTTCAAGGATGATGGAGTGGAGGATGAGATGGGGAAATGAGAAAGACTGACCAGCACCTTTGTAGATTTACAAGCACTTGAAACACAAGAGAAAGAAATGACATGTTGATAAACCGCAGAAAAGATACAAGAGTTGGTTCTGCTCAAAAGTCGCCGCAATGTGCAAATTTCCACCTTTGCATAATCTCAGGAAATGCAAAGAGTGCAGGAGGATGGAAAAGACTGAGATGACGTGGCCAGAAGAAAGAACAACGACAAGAAAGAGAGCAGGGGAGAGCAGAGCAGAAGGAAGGGCAAGACAAGAGCAGGGGAGAGCAGAGCAGAGCAAAAGGCAGTGCAGGACAAGTTACCAGTGTATGAGCTCCTTCAGTTGGATCGCGCCATCTCCGTTGGCGTCCATTTCCGCCATGATGCGCAGAGCCTGGACAAAGTCTCAGTTGAAGAGGAGGAGCGACATGGCCGAACCTCGTCGCGCATGCAGATGTGGCCGAGGTCCTGGAGGATGCTATGAAGCTCGTCCGCCGTGATCGAGCCTGAGAGCCAGCGAGGACAGTGAGAAACGAGCCCCTTGAAGAGATCAGAAGAAGCAGGAGGAGCAAGAACAGGGACAGGGCAGGCGAAGAAAAGGGGCAGGGGCAGGGGCAGGGGCAGGGGCAGGAGTGAAAGGTGTGCAGCTTGTTAACCAGATCTCTCGGTGTCACTGGCAAGGAAGAGCTGGAGGAGGCGTGAGGAGAAGAAGAGCAGGAGAAGCTCGTCCTCGCCTGTTTGATCCTTTTCTTGTCCGCATCCGAGTCCATCTGAGATGAAGGTGAGCGGCAGGCGAGAGCTCAGCCCCTGACGCACCTCCTGCTCCTTGTGCGCGAAGATGCTTGCGAACTGAGAGAGAAGTAGCAGAGGAAGGCGAGGAACATCAGCAGGTGGAAGAAGGAGAAAGATTGAGATAGGGAGAGGGGGGGGGTTGGGGGGGGGAGGGAGGGGGAGGGAGGAGGAGGAGGGAGGAGGGAGGGGAAGGAAAGGGAGGGAGGTAGAAATGGAAGGAGACGACGAAACGAGGAGGATGAGGTGGAGGAAGGGAGTG